CTTCGCGGTCTGAAGGCCGTCGACAGCGTCGTCCGGGGCGAGCACCGCAACGCGTTCGCCGTCGTGCGCCCGCCCGGCCACCACGCGGGCGAGCGCGGCTCGACGGCGGCGGGCCGCGACGCCGGCGCCGGCGTGGAGCTCGTCGGCCAGGGCTTCTGCCTCATCAACCACGTCGCGGTCGGCGCGCGCTACGCGCTCGCGAACCACGGCGACGTCGTCCGCCGCGTCGCCGTGATCGACTGGGACCTGCACCACGGCAACGGCACGGAGCAGATCCTCGCCGCCGACGACGGGCCGCTCGCGCGCGACGCGCTCCGCGACGCCGTGCTCTTCGCGTCGATCCACGGCGCCGACCCGCCGGGCGCGGCGGCGCCCCTCTTCCCCGGCACGGCGCGGACGGCGGGCGGCGGCGCGCGGCGCGCCGTGAACGCGCCGCTCCCGCGCGGCACGGGCCCCGCGGAGTTCCTCGACCACTTCCGCCGCGTGCTCGCCGCCGTCGAGGCCTTCGGCCCGGACCTCGTCCTCCTGAGCGCGGGCTTCGACGCGCACAAGGACGACCTCTTCAAGTTCTTCAAGCTCACGGACCGCGCGTACAAGGTCATGACCGAGCTCGTCATGGACGTCGCGGACCGGTGCTGCGCGGGGCGCCTCGTCTCCGTCCTCGAGGGCGGCTACCACGTCCCGACGCTCGTCCGCTGCTGCACGGTCCACGCGCGCGCGCTCGCGACGCACGGCCAGCCCCTCCCGGTCTCGGGCTCGCCCGCGCGCCGCGCGCCGCCGCCGCCGCGCGGCGCGCCCGCGACGCGCAAGCGCGCGCGCAAGCCCCCGCCGTCCTTCTTCGACTAGCGGCGCGCGCGCCGGCGGACTCGGACCGGCGCCGCCGCGGGCCGCCGCGCCGCGCGCGAGCCGCGACTCGGAGGCGCCTAAGGAGCGAGCGCCCGGGGTGGGCGGGGGGGCGCGGCCGCGGGCCCGGCGCGCGACGCCCGCGACGGGTGCCCCGAGATGGGCCGCCCCGAGGCACCTCGCGGAGCTTGCGAGCGCCGTCGGTCTCATTTGGTCGGATAGGCGGCGCTCGATGTGGCGGGGTCGATGGCGGCCCGGTGGACTGCGAAAACCTAGCTCGTCCTGCGAAGCGACCCGGGGGTCCGTCGTTCAATCTCGGCTCGAGAAGGGGGGAATTGCCGCTCCGCCTTGAGGGGAAATGGCAGTGTCCCTGCCAGGCTGACCTCGTCGGGAGTGTGGTCTCGGAGGTAGGAAGTTAGGATAGTTTATAGCTTCCTAACGTCGCTATGACGTCAGTCAAACTACTATCCAGCAGGTGCTTGTCGAAAGTTCCTGGCTCGCCCTTGATTTTCCGGGCTTTCCCTCTGATATCTGCAAGAACCGACTTCTGCTTTGCTTCAAGTCTGTCTTGAAGTTTGCTCTCAACCACTAACAAATGCTTTTTATCGTCCACGATTCTTAGACGGGGGCGAGCGCGTCGGCCATCGGACGCCGTCGCCGCCGCAAAACCGTGGCCACTGGCACACGCACGGGCCACCCACGGACAAAAGATTCGAACCTCATGACGAGGTGGGTGGGTGGGTCCGGAGGCCTGATTTGGGAAATCTACAGTGTACTGATGGGTACTTGTAACGCGCGCGCGCGCGTTTGGGATATTGCCTGGGACGAGTCCTTACCCGACACCGATGCCAGCCAGAAAGCTATTCACGCGTACGTCGAAGAGGGCAACCCTCCGCACCCAACCGCCTGAGTTAACAATAGTCGCCATCAAGTCGTGAGCATCTCTATTTTGGTCGAACACTTCTCCTGAACGCAAAACCTTGATATTGGCATTGCCACGTGGACTGACCTACTGGCGTTAGCGCCAGGGAGGGAGGATC